ACAGGTGAATGGAGATAAAAGATTACTTTACATATGAAACTTTTTTTGTATAAACACAAAATGAAAATCTAGAACTGAGACCCATAACATAAAGAGAAAATGAGGGAAAAAATCATAGAATACCACTAATAACACCAATAGGCCAATTCTTACTCTGTTGAAATAAAAAATGTCACATTGTTTTACCATTCAGACAATGCTGCCTGATGACAGTGATAGATCATAAAAAGATCAACATAATAAATTCATACAACTCAACATTAAGAAAACAAGTAATGGAATTTAAAAATGGACAAAAGACTCAAATACCTGTTTCCAAAGAGGACACATGGATGACCAGCAGACACGTGAAAAGACGCTCAGGGAAATGCAAATCAAAACCACAAGGAGATAACACTTGTCAGAATGGCTATTATCAAAAAGACAACAATGAATAAATGTTGGGGAGGATGTAGAGAAAAAGGAACCCTGCATCGTTGGTGGCGTTGTAAATTGGTGCAGCTACTATGGAAAAAAGTATGAAGATGCCTCAAAAAGTTAAAAATAGAACTACTTTATGACCCAGAAATTCCACTTCTGGCTATTTATCCGAAGAAATCCAAAACACTAAGTCAAAAAGATATATGCACTCTTATGTTCACTGCAGTGATATTTACAAAAGCCAAGATATGGAAACAACCTCAATGTCTAACAATGGATGACCGGATAAAGGAGAGGTGGCACGTATATACAATGGAACACTGGAATGTTATTCAGCCATAAGGACATCTTGCCATTTGCAACAACGTGGATTTAGAGGGTATTATGCTAAGTGAAGCAAGTCAGAAAAGGAAAAATACCATATGATTTCGCTTATATGTGAAATCTGAAAAACAAGATAAATGAACAAACAAAACAAAACAGAAACAGACTCATAGATCCTGATGGGTGCCAGATGGGAGGGGGCTGGGCAAAAAACGTGAAAGGGATTAAGAAGTACAAACTTCCAGTTATATAGTTTTTGGCTGTAAATGACAGAGAATATAGTCAATAATATTGTGATAACTATGTATGGTGCCAGGTGGGTCCTAGACTTATTGTGGGGATGACTTTGTAAGGTATATAAATGTCCAAGCACTATGTAGTACACCTGACACAAATATAAAATTGAAAAATAAAAATTTTTAAAAAGCACTAGAGGAAAAGGGAGGGGTGAGGTTTGTTAAAGAGAAAATCAGGCCCCAAAATGCCATCATTTGTGCTAAAAGCCCATGATACCAAACCTAGTTTAATATCTGATCTAACTGCAGTTTCAGCCTCTCCCAGAAATGTAACCTTAATCAACCGGTCTAGAATTTCCTGGTCAAGCACAGATAAGGCAATCAGTCGCTGAGGCCATCTCCAGGACAAAAAGAAAGAAAACACCCTTCCACCACCCCTCAAAAAGCGATGTCCCAGCCCCCCAAATAATCCTTTTTTCTTTTGTTAATAGTTCCCTTGCCTCACCCTTCTTCCTAAAACCCTTATGTGCCCTTAGGTGCTAGATGAGATGAAGACCAACTCATCGATAATTAAAGCCACTTAGATCTGTAGATGAAAAAGGGGCCACACACTAAAACTGACAAGCTCAGCATGGCAGGCCGTACAAACTTAGAGACGGAAAGTCAGCACAGGGGATGGTCTGAATATAAAAATTCCTAAAAGCAGGTCATGGCGGGTAGTCACACACTGGGTCTGTAGCTTTCTTAACAAAGGTCAATCCTTACCTTGTGAGTCCATCTATTCTCTTTTTGCATCTAAAAGACCCTCGGAATGTCCGAGTAATTCCTTTTTTCCAGACCTCTTGGGGCACAGCCCATGGCACTAGAGCAGAACCTCTCATGGTCATCTAGTTCCCCCCACACTTTCTCTTCGTTCTATAAATGTTAATTGTTAACTATCTTGAACCCACCAATGTAAAAGAAGCTGTGTCTTGCCATTTTTTTTTTAATCCAGGCCCAGACATGGCCCTGCTTTGCTTTCTCCTGCCTCCCTAATCTACCACCAGGGATTTCACGCAACCCTCCAAAACTGCCAAAACTGCCGTTCTCAGGAGCATTTTCTCAATCCGTTGAGATTTTGCTTCCAGGCCATTGTCGGTTTGGCTCAAATAAACTCATTAAAATTCTCTACAGGTTTGGATGCTTCTTACTTCCACAGACCTTTGAATTTACTTGGTTGAATTTTGTTTATCAGGTGTTATGTTTTCGGCCGTCGAACATCAAATATGTGGACCCCAAATACTACAAGACCAAATATTAGTAAGAAAACTATGCATCCACACTGGCTTGTTTTTATGTAAAGAAACACTAACAAGATGATGAAAAAGTGATCGAATTTGGTTGTTTGAGGGTGGATGAAGAGCAGAGTGGAGTAGGGAGTATTTGTAAATTAGTTTTCTATCTTAAGAATGGTTTTAACCTTCCTAAGCATTATTTATTTAAAATAAATGTGGAAATTTATGTACACCACATTTTCCTATGCTTAACCATGACTTTAACTTTTACTTTAGAAAAATGTAATTTTAACTTTTCTATAGAGGAAACCACTCCGCTTTAACCCTTTAAACGGTAACAGACGTAAGTGCAAACCATAAAAATTTACAAATTCCTTTCTAGCTAAAATGACAAGGGGCTTATACTCTGTCCCTCACTACATTTCACACGGGGGATATTTTCAGGAAGGAGTAGCACATAATAATGCAGTAGGAGTTTGTGATTAAGCCATTAAATGTGTTAGGAATTGGAGAGATTTCCACAAGCCTTGAGGTGTTTTCCTCATATCAGTTAAAATAGGTAATCATTTTCCTTAGGAATAGTATACTCTTTTAAATGTCAAAGTTCTCTAGAAACAAGGACTCACAAACACTGACCTAAAAATGAAAAGGCAGTCGAGACCTTAAGTACACCCATTTCACATCTTGATATTCTTCTGCCCAAAATAAACCAAAAATTATATTTGAGTCCACAATTATCTTGCCTTACTATCATGGTATCTCTTATTCAACTACATATTAAAAGCCCATGTGTTCATGGAAACTAGAATTAAAGGGCTACAATATTCAAGGAGAAAGGAATTCAATGGAAAAAAAAAAAGCCCACAAATATTGGAATGAAAACAGATATGCAGCCTGCTTACCTCTGATTGAGAAAAAAACCCATACTCAGAAAGTTGAACATATTCCAAACTTAGATTCTAGACAGCCCCGGTTGAGATTGAACCTCTGGAGTGGGTCAGTCCTTGGGGAAGGAGAGTGCTACACCTGAGCAGCCCTAAGAATGAACTCTGGGAGCTCCATACCCACCTACCTGCTCCTGTGAGCATGGAAGCGCTCCCTCCCCCAGGCTTCCAAGCTCACAGTGAGGAAACAGCCTGATTCAGTTTGAGTTCTGACCCCAATGAACTCCCCAATTCATAAACCCTTTGTCCACAAGACAGAACCCCTGATTCTCAATGTGCACGAATTACACTGAGCACACCTACACTGTGGATGCAAAACTCAAACACAAAGCCTAAAAATATCTAGACTTTAAGACAACCTCTGAAAGGGTGTCACCTCGCTTTCCCTTCTTGTGCACGTGCACCCCTCGGTTTCCAGGGCTGCGGCTTCTCCGTGTAAAGCCTCCTCCATGGTGGGTGTGAACAGGTAGGACACCTGCAGGGCGAGGCTCCCCAGGGAGAACCGCTGGGCCTTCAAGTGCTTCCCTTTGCAGGTCAAGGTGGCCTTGGCATGGGCCACTGACCTCAGGCCTCTGCTGCTCACTGGAGAAGCCACCACTGACGTTTAAATGACATAAACTTAATGTTTGAACAGTTCAGCAAAATCACTCAAACTCAGTAATAATGTGGAAAGGGGGAAAAGAAAACTGTAACTCGCTTTTATTGGTTCAACCAGGAAAGCTCAAGTATCTGTTCCAGTCAGAATACAGGGTGTCAGTCAGTTACTATTTCTGAGGCAAGACGTTGTTTTGTAATAATTAATCACACTTCAATAAGTCTAAGCTCTGGAATTTCATTTAAAAGCACCCAAAAGTACAGACCTCAGAAGCTTGCTACCCATGCTGAAGGGAAGAGAATTATGAAACCAGAATTCTTAACAAATAGATTGGTAATACTGGAACTTTTCCCCCCTGAAATTCCTCACTCCGTTAACTCTTTGGCAATATTTTACACTGTCTTTCAAGCTGTACTGATTAAATAATTTCACCCCTATGGAAAAATGGAAACAAATCAATAAATCTTTCTGGAGTGACAAACCTGGGGAGGGGTACTGCTGACACGAAAGAACACCCAGAGAGTTTCCAAGAGGACCTCCCACCCAAGGGACTTCCCGGAGGGCATCTGTGCCCAGAGGAGGTCCTGGGGGAGGGGACAGGGATTTCATACAACGTCTTCCAGGTGTCATTCTCCGCTTTCCTCTCACGTACAATATTCACAGACAAAAAAATATTTTTAAAATATAGCTATTCGTGGCTATGTGAAAAAAATAAACAAGTAAAATACTGGGGTTGTCTGGGATGCACCACGGATGACAGGCAGTGGGTAATAATGTCGTGATTTAGAGGGGAAGTGCCATTTGGGAATGCGGAGAGGGATCTTGAAATATCGGAATTTACTGCCGGCCCCAGGAAGAGCTAGGGTCATGGTTTTGACCTCCGGCTCCCTCAACATTTGGAAAACTCAGGGAAATACATGTGCCACTGTGGAGAAAGGAGGGACTGGGGACGCCACACACCACTGATCCTCCCACACACAAACTCCCGAGTCAGAGTCACGACTGTCCCCTGATGACCTTCCTCGTGGTCGCCACACCATCTGGGGACGCGGAGCTGCGGGGGCAGAGCTGCCTAGAGAGGCTCCCTGCCGGGGCCGAAGTCGCCGCACGCAGTGACGTGACAGGGCGCCCGGGGTCGCGCTGCGGGCCCAGCCCCCACGCTGCGAGCCCCTGATCGCCGACTAGGCACCCGGCCCCGCACACTCACCATTTCTAGCTTTCCTGGGTCTTGCCAAGTCCTGCCTAAGATTCCCACGACCAGTGCAGATCACACCGCGCGACAACAGCTGCAGCAGAGACACTAACGACCGGTAAGGGCAGGTGACTGGCGATTTAGAGCGTTGCCAAACGGAGCAGGAACTTCCGAGCGAAAGTGGGCGTCGCCCCACCTACCCACCCCTGCGATTGGACGGTTCTGAAGGCCACGCCCTCTCATGCCTGAGTGACAACCGCCAGGAGGCCCTGAGGCTCAGCAGAGAGAGCTTGAGTTAGAGCCGCTGGATTCTGCCCCCCTCCCCCAACATTTGCTTTTCAACAGAACTTTTTTCTGGCCTGGAGCTGCCTTCTTTGTCTTTTTCCTCAGCTTCTTCGAAAGGCCTGGTCACGGGTATGCACAGCATATTCCGGATTCGGTTTCCCAATGAAGGCAGTATAGGCAAGAGGATGGGCCAAGCCAGGCCACCCTGGAACAAGAGGGTCCTACCCTTGTGAGGCAGCCGTCCTTAACCTTTCTGGCACCAGGGACTGGTGCTCCTAATGAGAATCTAATGCCTGATGATCACAGGCGGAGCTGAGGCAGTGATGCTGGCGCTAGAGAGTGGCTGTAACTACAGATGAAGCTTCCCTGGCTTGCCTACCGCTCACCTCCTGCTGTGTGGCTCCGTCCCTAACAGGCCACAGACTGGTACCGGTCCTCGGCCCAGGGCGGGTTGAGGACCCCTGTTGTAAGGGGTCAAGGATTTGGCATTTAAGGCTGTGACCTCAGTCATGGAACTGTGATCTTTGTTTAGAAACACAGACACTTAAATGTGACTGCACCATCTTTAAATAGAGTCAAGCTGCATTTCTATCTTTGATGCTTCGGGCCTTCCACCCACCCCTGCCCCCACCCTCTCTCATTTGATCCTTAAAAGAAACCCAGAGCACTTGGCTCTGGTGGGAAGATGGAGCCCTGCAGCTCCGGCCGAGGCTCAGGGACTCTTCTCAGTCTAACCACAGGGGATGAGATGTGTTCATTACATTTTCAGGTGTACGTTTAACTCTAAAGGAAATTTATTTTAGGTCAATTTCTCTGTGTCCCTAGAAAACTTGGAAATGTAAATGATTTACTATCCTTAAGGTTGAATTCCTATTTTCACTGATGTAAGCAAAACTATAAATCATTATGTAATTTTGGGGTGCGCTTGGAAACCTCTCTCTCCCAACTTTATTGAGGTATAATTGACTAATAAAATTGTATTTAGAGATTACAACATGATGATTTGATATACTACATTTTATAATGTAGCTATCACTCTCAGTCTTACCATCTTCCTCCTTCAATCCCCAGCCCTAGACAATCACTAATCCACTTTTAGTCTCTACAGATTTTCTTAGTTCGGTCTTTCATATGCCTGGCATTGTATAATATATGGTTGTGGGCCCCAGGCTTGGTAGGTCCCAGGTCTGGCTGTGATCCAGGCTCGTGGCTAGGAATAGGACCCCGAATTTAGAATGTTACAATAGTGTAGTAGTGAAGAGGAATTTTCACTCAAAAGGCTAACTTTATAATCAGCTCTTTGTTCTGCTTCTGTAGATATGCTTGCTGCATAGGCTGTAGGGCAGGGTGACCTCGAAATTAACTAAAGACTCATCCTCCCTTTTGCTTGTTCTAAAAAATGGAACTGCTTGTAACCCATAGCAACTCCCGGGCTTTGTAACCGTCTGAGGGCAAATTAACCAATCAGCCTATGCCGAATAAGCCCTATATAAGCAAAGTTGCAACTGAGCTCCTGGGGCCAAGATCTTCAGAGCGCTAGCTCCTCTGGGACTGCTGTTGTAATAAACCCGAGTTTTCCAACTCTCTGAGTGCTCCTTTGGTTTCTTGCTGGTCTGATTTTTGCAATATTTCTGCAACAGTAGGGCACCTGCGCCCAACATAGGTAAGTATGATTCACCTGATTGTATCAAGCATGTGTGGCAGAATGCTATATACAAAGCCCATGCAGTCCCCTAATGGAGCAGAAGCGCGCTCCCTACAATAAAGTTGGTGCCTGCTGTTTCATTCTTGTGTCAGTCCCTCGTGCGTTCTTTCAACTGGGCATCTCACCACCAAAAACCTCCCTACTCGATCAGCTTGGTGCTGACAATGGTCTTTGTGATTGACTTCACTCAACATATATTTTCAATGCACATCCTTGATGTAGCTAGCATGTATCCATACTTTATTCGTTTTCATGGTTGAAGAATATTCCATTGTGTCCACTGAAAAACAGTATCAACTAGGTATTTTGGCACCAAAAAGGATTTGGGGAAAAGAAAGGAATGCAAGTAATGTATGCAGATGTGGTAAGCCGTGTGCACACACTGCCCTTCTGCCAAGATGGAGAAATATTTATAGGAGGAAAAAAAAAGAAGTTTGGGGGAGCCGGTTACAAACACCGAGTTTTATGGTAAGTGGAGACCTCTTCCTGTGGGGTGCTCAGGATGACAGAGTGTGAGACTGCCTCCCATAAGTGCTAGCTCTTCCCACAGACCTTCCAGACTGATCATGTTCCTTTAAAATCGCATCATAATCTTTATCATTCCCCACTTTTGATCAAGATCTTTCTCTGAAAGCCTCACTGACCAAAGTCAGGTCTTTCAACTCTAGCAGCCTTTTGTTCCTCGATGTCAGGAAGTACCTGGTCTGCATGTTGTCGCTCACATCAGAGGGAAAGTGTGTGGATCGGGAACACCTTGTGTCCAGGGTCAACAGACAACAGATGCAGAGCTTAGTAACTCAAAACAGAATTCGAACAATATAACAACCTAGTCTAGATGATGAATTTAAATCAGGAGCTCAATCCTGTAGCAATAAAACAAAGATCATGATTATCTTGGACAGACCAAAGTTTTTTTCCTTTTTTTTCTTTTTTTTTCTTTTTTCAGGTGAGGCAATCCTTAGTTGACCTTACAGATTGCAAGGGCCTTGTCAGCTTACAATCCCTTATTTTTATTTTTTATGCCTGTAGCATCTGGTCTTCCTAGGTGGTCTCCCATCCAAGTACTAACCAGGCCTGACCCTGCTTAGCTTCCAAGATCAGATGAGATTGGGCTTGTTCAGGGTGGCAAAGTTCTTAATGACACATTAGATAACCGGAAAAGTTAACCCCTTTCACAGTATATTCGGAAATGTGAACAAGGGCACATTGCTTCCAAGGAAAAGAGAAAAATGAAGTAAGAATTAATATTAAAGAAAAAAGATTGTACAGGTCTGATCCAGTTGTGGGGAGAAAGCTGTTTCCTTCAGAAGTCACCTGCTTTAAATTTTGACAGCTTTAGTTTCAGATCAACAGTGTTGCAGTTCTAGGCATGGCCTGGTACTCTCTTTAGGTGTGACACATGCATCCAATTGTGTCACATACTTCCTGGAGTTAGTAGCACAGACGTTACTCAACAATACCTGATAGGGGCCCTTCCACTGAGGCTGGAAGGAATCATTTTTAAGATGTCTTTTCCAGTAAACAAATCTCTAGGTTGCAGAGTGTAGGTTTTGAGTTTTTATTTCCTTAGAATGCACTGTGAAAAAGATTTCTCTACCAAAGCATGATTGTTTTCAATAGAAGCAATTAGCCTTTATGATATTGAAGCATGTTTTCTTTTACCAACTGGGGATCAAAAGAAGCAGGAACCAAATGCATGGGGCATCCTGTGGTTATCTCAAAAAGTGAAAGCTTATGAGCCCCAAAAGGGGTAGATGTGACATTTAAGAGGACCAATAGCAATGCTTTTGGCCAAGGTATTAGAAGAGTACCTACAAATTTTGCCAATTAAATCTTAATAATGCCAGTAGTACGTCCAACTAAACCTGGAGACAGGACGGTGAGCATAGTGAAAATGTCGTAGAATGGGTCCAACAGCACAGACTCGTTGGAGGAGCTGACCAGTGAAGTCGGTCCTCCATCACTGTGCAGCTGGAGAGGAGTTCCCCACGTGGGAATAATCTTCTCTAGTGGGACTTTAGCACTGGAGAGGCTTTAGCTTGTCTGTAAGGGAAAGCTTCAGTCCAATGAGAAAGCATACACATGACCAAAACATATTTGTGTCCATGAGGTGGGGGAAGCTATATGAAATCTATTTGCCAAACCTCAGATGGTCCCTTAGGCAATTTAAACTATCCAGGGGCAGTGCAAACAGGCTTCACTGGTTTGTTTTTGGACAGATGTGTCACTAAAGGTGGGCAACTTTGTGGCCTTGTTAATATCCTCCCACCAACACTGATTCATGAATGATGTCATTGGTCAAGTGGACCAAAGGTTTAATGAATATACAGTAGTTAGGAGTGGAAATTTTAGAGTTTCTGGTAAGACTAGGTTGTTATTTGGTCCGAACCAGAGCTTTCTCTTATCTCACTAACAATCATTGGATTTCCAATCTTGCTTTTTTTTTTTTGCCTCCGAAGTTTCCTCTGGCCAGTTTTTCTAAGTTATCAACTGGGTAAACATCCCTTTGGACCATGACAGAGGTTTGACAGCTGCTGATGCCTTCAAGGGCAGCATCCTTAGCAGAAATGACAGCAAGGTGATTTCCTTTTGCTTCCAGGGAGTCAGGTGTGGAATGTCTTGGGATCTTAATAACAGCTAAAGCATCAGGTAAAAGCATAGCATCGAGTAATTCCTGAACATACAGGCCATTTCTAATTTTATTTCCACTAGAACTAAGGAAACCATGTTGCTTTAATAACATCCCAAAGGCATGAGCTAATTCAAAGGCCTATCTACTGTAAGTATAAATGTTGACAGTTTTACCTTTTGCTAAAATGCAAGCCCGAGTGAGGCTGTCAGAATTCAGCCTGCTGTGCCGCAGGAGCCAAAGGCTAAGATGCTGCCTCGATGACTTCAAAAGGGGGATGTAATCATATAACCAGCACAGTACTTACCATTTTTATTTTAAAAATATGAACCACTATAAACCATGAGAAGTAAATTTTACTCAAAGGAGTATTCTGCAAATTGTCATGGGGAGTCATGTGGTGATACGTCAGTGTCAAGCAGTATGAGGTCTCAGAAGGGAGAAGAGTAGCTGGATTAAAGTTATTACAACGTGAGAGAGTTATATGGGAAGCAGTTAATGAGAATTTCATAGGAGATAAGGCGACTAGTGGAAAGATGCCAGGTGTGTGAGAATTCAGGAA